CTTCAGGAATGACCATAGAAAGGGTTCTTATTGTGTAATATATCAAAATGTGTAAAGCCCAGTAATCGTTCCATTATGTTTCAGTCTTACCTGCTTTCGGTCTGGAAGCAAGAATGCAGCCCAACAAGGAAAGGATGATTGGACGCCTGCTCAAAGACATGCTTCTCTGTCTGCACCCAGTCAATATCCTATTTTAAAATGTGAAAGAAATCTATGTCAAACTGAAGTGATATCATCAAAACTATGATAAATATGTTCTTAGCAATTCCATTACCACGAACACAATTATTAACTAATTAGGCTAAATATCAAAAGCATTGATAATCATGAAATAATAATTTACATATAAAGAGAAAAACACTACCAGTAAATCTTTCAATATTATGAAACAGTCTAGAAAACTTTTACAAAGTTCAAGTACTTTCCTTTGATAATAATATGATTTGATTTTTATTTTTAAAAAAATCTAATAATCATCAGATAACTTTAAATATACCCTACATAATATGTTTGAAGCCTATATTTAGAAAAGACTGAAATAATAAGGCACAAACACTGGGTTTTCTTCTGAAATAGTATATTTGAGCCAACTTAACAGTAAACACAAACATCACTGTCTTTACCTCATCATCGTTGACAAGTTCTTTTTTCACCACCTTCATTGCATAAATACGATCTGTTTTTTTTAACCGCACCAACAGTACTTTAGCATAACTTCCTCTTCCTATTACCCGGAGCAAATCAAAATCCTGAAGACCTAAACTGGATGAAGCTTTGCCACTTTCCCTGGTGTTCATTGCCTGTTGAGAACAATCATATCAGCGTTACACTTGAAATATTTTGCATAATACAATATATTTCTAACACTGAGCTATAACTATACCTATAATACTTTTAATATTTTCTGACTAAGTTCTTAATTATTTTCTTACATCATTCCAAACAACACGATCTAACTATTCAAGTGGTAGGATGAATTCATGAGTTGAGGTCAGCAGGGTGGTGTTAGGAATGGAGAGGGAGTTGAAATCTAAGAAATGCTGGAGGCAATGGAGATGCATTAATTAAAAAAAGAGACTAACTTTAGTGACTAGGAGATTGGAGGTATCACTGCCAGAAAAATAAAGTGTGAGCACAGGATAAGACTGACAGAGTTGATGAGATACTGAGCTTGGTTTTTCACACTGAAGTTAGAAGTTATAAGGGGACATCAAGAGGAAAGAGTCTGCTGAAAGCTTGATGTATGAAATCTGAGTTAATGAGAGGACACTTTCAAAGACATTTCCACAAGCTACAGGCAGAAAACAGGTATGAGGCAGTTCAGCTAATGGAAAACATTCTTTTTTAATACAACACCAAGTCTCCTTTGGAATGACAAAGGCAGCCTTACAATTCATTAACAACTAGAAACTCAGGCCTCTGATAATTTACAGAGAAGGCTGAAGACAGTCTTTTATTAGATACCTGCAAAATCCTCAGCACACAACCAACAGATGTACCCGTGAGAATTAAGTATGAATTTTCTGAAGTGAAGAGTATGAAGAAAAACAAAGAGCGAATTTTGAGAAAGAGAAACTACTAAGCACAAAACAGAAAAAAAAGAAAGGTATTATGAAAATTGAAGGAGAATGACGATTCAAAAGAAAGCTCAACACATTAAAATTTAAAAATAATAATCTGATTTGGTAACAAGGATAAATTAAAAGGAGTGAAAGAAACTGGATTAGAGCAGATTAAGAAAGCAGAGAATGGTAAGAAGGTAAAGCAATGTACAGACTTAAGCACAGCTGAGTGAAAACGATAAAAAAGAATCAAAAGGAACAAATGCACAGCACCTTCACAGGGCCTGGAAAAAAGGCCTGCTGACCTACAATTCTGTACCCTGAAAAAATAGCCTTCAAAATGAAAGTGGAATAAAAACATTTTCAGACAAACAAAAACTAAGGAAATCTATCATTAGCAGGCATTCATTAAAGCAAATAAGAGTTCTTTGAGAAGAAAGAAGACCTCATATGGAAGATGCAGGAATGAGCACTGAACAAAAAGAATAAAATATGGATAAACCTAAATAAGATTTATCCACATTTAAAACTATTGACTATTTAAAAACACTAATACACACACACACACAAATATTTAAAATATGACAGAAATAGCACTAAAGGCAGGAAGGAAGCATGAATAAATTTAAATTGTTCTAAGGTCCTTGCATATTCTGGGAAATGGTAAAAAATATTACTAATTTATGTTGAATTTAAGTAAGTTAAGAGTATAAGATGCAATCTCTAGAACAACCAGTAATAGAATAGAATCACTAACCAAAAGAGAGTTGCAGCTAAACTAATATGAGACAGAGTAGTTGTAGCCTACTGTGGTGGCTGCTTCTAAAGGGCACCAGTGATCCCCATGTCCTAGTATTCATGCACTTGCAAAGTCCCCTCCCCTTGTGTGTGGGCTGGACCTAGTGACTTGCTTCTGATGAAAAATACGTGACAAAAATTGACGGAATGTCACTTCTGAGATTAGATTACAAACAACTGTGTGTTCAGTCTTGCTAGCATTTATTTTCTCTGGATCTCACTGCTTGCTTGCTCTGATGAAGCAAGCTACCTTGCTATGAGCTGCCCTAAGGCCCTGTGGCAAGGAACTGAATCCTGCCAACAGTGAGGTGAGTGTGAAAGCAGTTCCTTCCCCAGCCAAGCCTTGGGATGACTGCAGTCTGCCTGCACACTGACTGCAGCGTGGAATGGACTCTGAGACAAGGACCCAGATAAGTCACACTTGGGCTTCTAACCCATAGAAATTGTAACATAATACATTTTGTTTCAAGACACTATATTTTAAGGTAATTTGGTAAGCAGACTTTAAGACAAGAAGCATTTCTACAGAGAGAAATTTCTTCATGAAAAAGGGCTAACCCAATAGAAGATTTTATGATTCTGAATCATAGACTCATAAGAATACTTAATAACATAGCCTCAAAATATATAAAGCAAAAACTAACAAAACTAAAAAGAGAAGGTAAACTCAGAAACCTTTTGGTACAGAAAGAACAAGCAGTCAGTGAGGTAACAGAAGACTGAATAAAACTGTTAATAATCTTGACCTAATTGACATGTACAGTTACCACACCCAACAACTATAGAACATGTTGCTTCTAAAAATACATATGGAACATTTACCAATGCCTATGTGTTCAGTCTTCAAGCAAATTTCAACAAAATTCAAAGGACTGAAATCACATGGAATGCGCTCTGACTTACAGCAGAATTAAGCTAGAAGTTAACAAAAAAATTTCCCAAGTATTGGAAAATCAATTAGTATACTTTTAAATAATATATGGATCAAAGAAGAAACCATAATAGAGATTAAGATATATTTTAAACTGACAAAAAAAAAAAGGAAATAATGAGAGGAGAAATCCGTGTACTAGAATAGAAAATAAACATTCAACAAAGAAGAGCTAAAAGTTCTTTGAAAAGACTAATAAATTGATACCCTCCTGGCAAGACTGATGAAGAAAAAGAGAATGCACAGTAACTTTTATCAGGAATTAAAAAGCATATAATTTCATATTCTCAGAAATTAACATCTTTATGTCAATAAATCTGAAAATTTAGGTTAAACAAATTCCAAGGAATAACACAAACACAAGAAACAGAGAAGCTAAACTGTCCTACATCTATTCAGAAATGGAATCTAGGATTAAATACTTCCCACAAAGAAAACCCCAGGCCAAGAGTGCTTTTCTGACAAATTCTTTCTAAAATATAAGCGATAAATAATGCTAATCTTGTAAGATTCTACCTTGGAAATAGAAAAAAAAATCCCAAAATCATTTTATCAGTCCAGTATTATCTTGACACCAAAACTAAACAATCCAATACAAAAAGGGACTTATAGGTCAATGACTCTCATTAATAATTTTTTTTAAAACCTAAATATTGGCAATCAGATTCATCAATATATAAAGAGAGTAATACATCATGACACATTAAATTTATTTCAGAAATGGAAAATAGGCTTAACATTTGAAAATTAATGAAATTTACACATGATCAACTCCATAAATGCTATAAAATGTCTTTTTTTCTCATTTTTAAAAATTGAAGTATAGATGATTTACAATGTATTAGTTTCTGGTGTTCAGCATAGTGATTCAGTTACACATATAAGTATATACCCTTTTTTCCATATTCTTTTTGTACCTCTATTAAAAAAAAAGAATTTAAAAAAAGGGAGGAGGGGTGTGTAGCTCAGTGGTAGAGTATGCGGTTAGCATGTGTGAGGCCCTGGGTTCAATCCCTAGTAACTCCATTAAAAAAAGAAGAGTATGTTTTTAATAAAATTGAACATCTTTTCATGATGAAGACAAAAAGCTTACTAGGAATACAGATAAATAACCAGACCACAAAATGGAAGGATCCATAATATATTTTAAACAATACTATCAAGTATTCTAAACACCATTCTTAAATACATTTATAGTTTTTAGATTATGCTATCTTAAAGTGAAAATAAGCTATCACACCAGATCATTTCTTAATTTAAATGAAATTAGTAATCATTGGATTAAATCAGAATAAAACTCTAGAATCATCAAAAATCATACCTGCATCTTACCACTATGATCATTTAAAAATCTAAGCAAGTCAATCTCTCACATTTTTAAACTGTCAAGCTATTATTAAAAAGCTGATGACATAATGTACCATAAAACTAATTATCTTACCTCCTTTTCTTCACCAACTTGGTCCAAACTCTCATGACTTGCAGGATTATATGGAATTACTAAAAACCCAATCCCAAACAAAAAAAAAAGAAGAGAGAGAGAGAAAAACAAAGTATCCATTAACTCAGTTTGACTTAAAAATTTCTCCTGATCTGACTTTCCTTAGTTTTATTTCTGAATAAGTGTTCATCATTTACAATTGAATATCTGTCCTATTAACAAAAAATTATATGTGAATATGAGTTAAATCTTAATTTTTAATGAGGGTAAAGACAGCAGGAACCAATCAACAGCCAAGTGCTGATTTTAACAAATATTTCTGCTATTTTAAAAATACTTCCCTTCCTTACAAATTAATCAATTCCTTCTAAAAAAGGTGACTCCATATATCTTATTTAATTGTTTTAGTATGACTGAGGCCTAGAGACAAAAAGTCTCCAGTTTTCACTCCTCACTTCCTTCATATTCAAAATGTTCCTGATTCAGAATGTACCATGCACACAGGTCAGGTAAAGAACTGACAAAGACTGGACTATAAAGCCTTCATTTCTTTTAACCAGCTTCTTCCATGAATAATATACTGCATTCTGTCCTTCCAGAAAAACTCCTTTGCTTTCTTTTTCTTGATTCACTCCAGATCAGACTGCTCTGTCCCATTTAATTGCTCTCCAAATTTCCCAGATACATATTTAAGGTTTTGTATCTATGAGACATTTGAACTCATGATCTTTTTTGAATTTTCTGTGCAGCATCTCTTTAGTTTTACATAATTTCGATATTTCATAATAGAGCTTTTAATAAAAATAGGTCACTTGAATATAGTCAACATGACCCACAAAATCAGTACATGTTTTCATTGTTGAAAAAAAATGGGCTTACTGAATATAAAGGGGTCTCAAAAGAAATTTATCTGAATGAAAGAAAACAGTCATTTGTTGTAGTTTACTTAGTTGTCTTTATAAAGTGCCGGATGTATATGTTATATATTGTGACTCTGCTGTTAACACGATGAAATATGGTTACTTAACTTTTATTTCAGAAGAATATCAGTGTTTTTAAACTTAGGTCAAAGATTCACATAAAGAAGTCTTTAAATGATACTTTGTTAATGAGCAATGGTTTGTGCCAGTAACATCCTTACCTGTCTGTGCATGGTCTGAATGCATGGATGACTGGTCCATGGGCATCATTGGTTCCTGCAAACATTTCCAAAGATACAGTAACTTAGTGAATTCTTTTTAAATCCCAATACCACTGTAAATCCAGAAACAACATTATTTTGATGAGACACAGCATATTAAAATTTAAATTTGAAAGAATATAACTTAAGTTAAATTATATTACTGTATAAAAATTTACATTTAGTTTATTATATGAATAAATGAATATATGAATATATAGGAAAATATGAATATATAGGAATATTTCTATGAATTAGGTAATATTAGTCATTTTACAGATCACAGAAGAAATCCAAAACTAATTTCAGATCATCAATTAGAAATCAAATTAAATTCCTGTATACT